TTTTTGTCTGTACTGACAAATCTGCAGCACAAATGTGCTCTATTGGATTGAGATCTGATGACTGTGGAGGTCATTTGAGTACAGTGGCCTCATTGTCATGTTCAAGAAATAAGTTTGAGATGATTTGAGCTTTAAGACATGGCGTGTTATCATGCTGAAAGCAGCCATCAGAAGAGCCTTGCACTGTGATCATACAGTCTGGACATGGTAGGCTGTAGCATTTAAATGATGCTCATTTGGTACCAAGAGACCCAAAGTGTGCCAAGAATATATCCCCCACATCGTCACACTGTCACCACCATCCTGAATCATTTATACAAGTCAGGATGGATCCATGGTTTCATGCTGTTTACACCAAATGCTGACCTTACCATCTGAATGTAGCAGCAGAAACCGAGACTCATCAGACCAGGCAAAGCTTTCAATCTGTAGTGGCTGCTATTCGGCTGCTATAGTCTATGTTGTGTAAAACTTAAAGATAGAAGATTTTGTCCGAGCACAAATGCCTCAACAGACACTGAGTAACACGTGATGGCACTTGGATAGAGAGCAGATGTTTGTGGAGGAAGGTGAGGTGAGAGGCAGGGTAAAAAAACTGCCTCCTTTTGACCTGGAAAAGGAATGTATTCCTCTTTCAGATACTTTCAGCTAATTCCACCAGGGATCCGAGCAGGAGGGGGGGAACAGTTGCAGATTTACTCACTCCTCTCCTTTAATCTCAGCTCTTCTGTCATTGGTTGTTTCCTCCCCTCTGAGATCCAGCTGGCATTCATTGTGTCTAAAATCTGCTCTGCCCCCTCTCATTGGTCTGCATGTGCATTTCTTTACCCCTGCCCCTTTTCTAGTGTTTGTCAGGCCATTGTAACTTAGATTAAGTGAACCATCAGCACTGCTTGTATTACAGTAAAATATATATTGTTTTATTTTAATTTTTCCCCTACAGTGAGGAGTTGTCAGAGCTCAGCAGGGTATGAGAAACTGTTAAGCTCTCTACTAGTTAGATTTTTGGAGCATCATAGCAGAACGGGCAGAGGCTCTAACTGAGTCTTTCACACTGATAATCCTCTTACACGTCAATGCCACCACACCCCCAAACACAATCACACAAAAACACCAAAAGAGAGCCAACAAATACACATTAACACACTTTTTTTTTTTATTGTGGTGGGGCTTTTTTTCCCCTCCATGGGAGTCTTGGGTTGTAATTCAGCTTTGCTGCATGTCTGCTTTACCTCAGAGATAAGATTTTTGTGCTGAAGGCAGAAATTTTGCAATCTCCTCCTGGGAGGCACTAATGTATTCACTCATATCTTTAATACGCTGCTACCCCTCAGGACTACATGGAGACAAATTTCAGAAAGTAGCAGACCCACTGAGCTTTACAATGACTCCTAGAATTGCATGCGTCCCACCCAGGTATGACTTTGCCTCAGCAGGACCTCTCAGGATGTGTACGTGTGAAGTGATAGACAGTTATTGAGGGGCAGAGAGCCAAGACAGCCGAGTAGCTCCTGGCTCGACACTGCGGACGTCTTCCGAAAGCCTTGACCCACTTCAAAGTCTCCTCCTCCCCCCTGCTCACCCAGACGCGCTGCATACTGAAGCAGCTCTGCCACAATCTGCTGAGCTGCAGTGAAGCTCTGCATGCGGACACTGGGGAGACTGAGTGTGTCTGTCTAATAAATAAATTGCATGTGTGTCAGTATGTGCTGCAAGGTCATGTGTTTGTACACAGTGTGTGGCTCACACAAGGTGAAAGGCCTCGGGCAAAGTCACAGAAAGTTGCTGCTTCTGCTGAATATATTAATGAGTCTCTCAGTTTTTACTCTAGCAAACACAGACAGGTATTCAGCAAAGTGAGTAAGAATCCTTAAAGTGCAGCAAAGAGAAAAAAAGGGAGGGGATGCAGAGGCTGCACCACATTTCAGCCCTCTGCAGAAAATCCTAGGAGCTTTAATTTTTTGGGAGGGGGATAAATGATCAAAACAATTTCCTTTTTTTAATTGTGTTTTGCAAACTAGAATTCAAACCCCTAGATAGTTCATTTAAAAAAGAAATTAACAAGTCTGCACAAATAAAAAAAAGACAACCAGGACATTGGAGACATCCTTTTCCCCAACCACCGCTCAATCCACATGTCCACCACACAAGTCCTACAGTACTTCCTGCAGCTGTTGTGTAGCTCTTTTGCATGGCATAAGGTCCAGCAACAAAGTGCTCACCCAGCCTTAGTAACCCTGTCCCAGTCAGAGTAAGTAGTCCTTGTTTCTTCCTTCTTTCGTAGTAGTTGCTCTTACTCTGACCCCTCACCTACAATCAACTTGTATTATTCTGGCTCAGGGATAAAGTCAATTATGCTCCAGCTTCTGAATCCATAATATGTTTAGAGCAAGCAGCCCTTGTTTTAAGCTGCCCTGAGCAGAGATGAGCCCAGACGGCCAGCTGATGGGAGGCAAGCTCCACTGGGAAGGACCAGAGATGCTCACTTAGTCATGGATGCTAGACGCACTGATTTAGACAGATTACAAACAAGCACTCACAGTCTGTAAGCACGTCAGCAGTGTACTACCTCACCAATGCATTATCACATGCATGGGGGATTAGCACACATTTTGATTTATGGACACATGCAGAGCTATTGTGCCTACGACTTTCACAAAGTCATGCAGTGTGGAGAAAAAAAGCAATTGTTTTCTGATCGGCTGGAAAATCAGGAGGACTCAACCTGTTTTTTTATGGACATTTCTTTCCCAGTTGTGTGTTCAACAAAAGTCTGACCCATAAGAGATTAACACACTATTCCCATAGAATTACTTTTCTTATCTGCCATCAGTTACCAGGAAAACACCTGGACTTATTTTGAATGTCACACTCACATGTGTATCAGTCTGTACTATCTGCATTGTAGGTGAACTTGGAAGTTGTGTGTCTCGTATCTGTCTCATTGTCTATCACCATACAAACAGCCTTTTGTCTGTTGCCGTCTCAGCTGCCTTCTGTCTGTCATCATCTGATGTCTATCAGGGTGACTGACTGGTTTTGCGATTAAACTCTGGTGATATACTAGCTCTAGAGATAAGGATGTTTTTTGGGCTCACTATCAGACCATCTTCTTAGTAACTGGTGTAGACTCAGGCTCAGAAACCATACCACAACACTGGCTTATTTTCAGACACTCAAACGGGAGCAGCCTGATGACGGAGTGTTTTGTTGTGTGTATGTCTGTGTGTGAGTGTGTTTGTGTGTTTTAAATTCATGTTAATAAAATAAATACATTTAAAGTTATGTAGGGTAATGAAAATTTGCATGTTGTCTGGTTGAAGCATGTATTCTTGTGAAATCTGTATATACAGTGATGGTTCCTTTCCAGGTGTACAAGCTGCATGTTGCACAGGGACTAAAACACCCTTGCACCATCAGAGACACAAGCTTTTCAACTGAGTGCTGATAACAAGCTGGATGGTCCTGCTTCTGGATCACGTTCTTTTTTGCATCATAGAACTTTAATCTGCAATTGCTGATTGTACGGTGAAATGTACTCACAGACGATGACTTCTGGAAATGTTCCTGAGTCCATCCAGTGATTTCCATGCCACTTGAGTATCCCAAGATCCGTCTTGTTTCCAGTATTGGTTTTTGGCCTTGCACCATGCACTGGGGATTTCTCGATTACTCTGAATCTGTTGATGATATTATGTACTGTAGATGATGAGATATTTGTTCTTTGCAGTTTTACATTGAGGAACATTATTTTGAAATTGCTCCACAATTTGTAGACTCAATTGTTTTTGCAAATTGGTGAACAACTGCCCATATTTATTTATGAGAAACTCTGTCTCTCAAAGGTGCTCTTTTTATATCCAATAATGTTACCAATCTGTTGCCAGGTAACCTAATTGATTGCGAAGTGTCCCTCCAGCAGTTTCTTCTTAGTCCACACCGCTTACTTTTTCACCCTTTTGTTACCCCATCACAGCTTATTTTTAACACGTTACTGCCATTAAATTCAAAATGAGCTGTTTTTTCTCTCCCTAAAATGGTAAAATGTCTCAGTTTAAAAAAAAGTTTTCTATAATCTGTTGTGAATAAAATGTGTTTATAAAATTTGCATTCCTTTTTGTTGACATTTTACACAGCGTCCAAACTTTGTTGATATTGGGGTTGTGAATTAATCAAAATACGATAAAGATAACATAAGATACACTTTATTTATCCTATTTATTCTAGGTTTATGCTAGCTTACTAGGCTAACTTAGCCTAGCTTACTAAGCTACGTCGGTTGACGTAGTGTTTGCTCTGTTTATCATTCATGTTTTCTATTTGCTGTGACTCTGTTTTGTTTTTCCAGTCATAAGCTGTGGGTTAATGTATTATCATTTGCCTATTGCGTGGTGTGTGACGGGGCAACGAAGGAACTTGTTATTGCTATGAAAACTATAATTTGGAGCTCTGCAAGGCATCATTAGGAGGGTTAAAGTATGGTTTACAGAGAGCAGTACAATATTATGTTCTGTCAGCACAATAACAAGTCAATCTGCTGTGCACCACTTAACTTTCCTGGAGGTCTGACCTGCAGGTTGACTGAACTACTCAGGGTGCTGAAAATTACAGCTGATGAATCTGTTTATAATATTGATCAGCAGTAAATGATTTTACATGTAATTGTTTAATTCATCTGTTTTGTCTGCCCATTTTAAATATGAAAGCAAGGTTAGTTTATTTTATTTCTCTTTTTTTTTTTATTAGAATATCGTAAATTGGAAAAACTTTTGGTTTGGTTTATTGCAATTCAAATATTTCATGCTGGTTGTTGTATGTTTTTAATTTCTGTGTTGTCAAAAAGTTTAATTTACTTTCTCTCTTTTATGACTGCAAAGGGACTTGATCATCTTCATTATGTTTGGATTATTCATGTTTAAGGGAGCAGTGGTATTACTTTGTCTTTAATCTTCTGTTAAATTAATTGTTCTTGTGTCCGTTTCTGTCTCCGCTCCTGTTAGGTGTTGTGAGTGCAGCGCCTCGCTGTCCCACTGGTATTATGAAAAAGATGGCCGGCTCTTCTGCAAGAAGGACTACTGGGCCAAATTTGGGGAGCTGTGCCATGGCTGCAACGACCCGATCACCACTGGCCTCATTATGGTAAGAGGATCTGCCACTTAACTCATCACTTAGCACCCCCACGGTTCTTGGTTTGCCGATAAACCTTGAGTTCAGGCCGTGACAGACCCATACACACATCTGAGTCTGTACGTTTACAGCCTCACTGGCTGCTGTGTGCCAACAAGCGTAGATTTTAATAGGACATGTGCCAGACCTATAACTGACCCTGATGCCTTTGGCAGCTTAGAGAGATCTTCTTACAGACCTCCAGTGAAAGTCCGAGCTCTTGTTGTGACACAGGAGAGGTTTGAGTGCACAATAGATGTGGCCACAGTGCTGGAAAGCAGATAAACTTGGCTTCTGCTGATAAGTGCTGCTGCATTATAGAAAAGACAAGATACCAGCACCAAAAGAGACTTGTGTCTATTTGTTGATTAGTGATGGAATCACACACATTCAAAGCCTGGAGAGACTGATTAATATTGTATGTTGGTGTAATAAAATATGTTGTCGTTATATATCTGAGGGCCCAGTTTCCCTGCCAGTGCAATGCCAGCAGTAGCAGAAATGCAAATGGATGGCGGGTTTTTTTCTGATGTTGTTTTGTGCCTGTTTGCAAATCTCCTGGCGTGTTAACTCGTCGTTGCTGAGGTGGTTGGAGAGATGCAGCCAAGATGATATTTGGATGGTTCACACTGTAATTTCAGCTGCAAAAAACAGTCTTCCTATGCTGCTAAGATCACCTCTTAGCACAAACATTAAGCCATTTCCAAGAGATTCCCTTACAAAGCAAGTTCAACACACCAAGGCTATGTTTTCTGTATCTGAATCTATATTTCTTACTTGACTATTATTCCTGGCTACAATCAACATCCCAACTAGCAGAGATATTCCAGGAGTGATTATGTGATTTTCCATAGAATGATCGTCAGCCTGAGGTGGTTTTGTATATGTTGTTCTCTTATCTCTTATCTTGCTCCTGAGCAGAATAGGCCTGCAACAAGTTCCCATGGCAGTGTAGCCCTGTGAGAAGTGAACCGGCTTTGTGATACCAAATACTCACCGTTAACACTGATGTTACCTGGATAAGCCCAAATATAGCTACTTATCTGATCTTTTGTTCTTGTTATTTTAGAAAAGTGAAAGAGCAGTTGCTGCATGCCTGACCTTAAATGTCTTATTGAAGTAACAAACTTGTAAATTTACATAGAAATGTGGTCAGTGTGTACAGTTTGTTCATGAAGCAAAGCTCATTCATTATTAAAGTAAACAGCTGTTTTGGTTTTTGGTATCTCGTGTTCACGATACCCATTAGAGCAAACGTTATTGTTGCAGGTGTTGCAACCAACAACTTTTACTTCGAAAGTGAACATTTGTGCCACACTGTTCACACCTGTTAGCAGTGAAGAGTCTGTGTCTTCCATGCAAGCTATGAGCGACCAGGGCTACCTGCTTGCGACCAAATCAGGGAGGTTTTTGCTGCAGCTGTCTAGAGGTGCAACATTTTACCATAGTAAAATGTGGTAGTCGCAGTAAGATTTGTCTAGTGGCTCTTTGAAGTAATAGTGTGCAGTTATTGCCACCCACACGCTGGTGGTCCTTTGATGGGGGGAAGCTGAGTTCATTCTTTGCATACCGAGTATCTGGTTTTCCACATTTTCCTCCTGGTCAGAAGCAGAAGCTAGCAGAATGCAATGTTTGGGTTCATGTGTGTATTTTATCATTACTCTGCCTCCAGACAGCTTGCCCTTTGCTGTGCAATCTCAGTAATGATACAGAGGAGACTGTAAAGTGAATTAGGTGGAGTGATTGCTACCTCTTTCTCCTTCTCTTTCTTGTTTATTGCTTCTCTTACAGTGCAGAGTCACTGATTGACTGTCTCTGCAGCTGCACTTTAGCAAATTTAAGATTGGTGAGCCAGTCAGGCTTCAAGATGGCCAGTCCAATTGTATCACTGTGCACACATGCAGACCAAGGTCAGCTCCCTACATCCGTGCCACATCCCATAAAGAAGGAGAAGCCTACTCCCATCCTGCACAGTCACTCTGACGCCTATGCAGATTAGTAGGAAAGCACAATCCTATTTTTAAAAATCACTGAGGCCACTGCACCTTAAAAAGCTGCTGTCACAGTCGGTGAAACCATTTTGAGCTCCATCATGCAGTGATGAGTCAGAGTCTGCAGACAAACATGGAAGAGCTGTTTTTGTGTTTCACAGGATTTCATCTCTCCTGCTACAGTAATGTCCACAAGCAACGCCTAGATTTAGTGTTTTTTCTTTGTGTGTTTACTATGTGCAGTTTATTGACATACAACAATAACACAGCATCATCAGTGCTTCATTCATGATGCATCCATAAAAATGCTTGTCCGTAAATCAAATTACAAAGCTATGGATTGTATGAAATGCCCTCATGCTCTTGCTTTTAAATGTTTGGGGTATATCAGATCATTTCAGTAATTTTCCCAAACTAACAGTGCAACAAGAGTGCCAGCTTTGTGCAGCAACTTAGTGTGTGGAGATAAGAAGGTAGGCAAAAGCTCACTTTCACACTTTCCAGAGACAGTTATTGCTTGAGTAGACAATATGAATGCCTTTGAGACAAAGGTGCAAAAGTCTGAAAGTTTTTCCATTCACAGATTAGAGAAGCTTGGAGGAGTTAATAAGCTATTTGCATCAAGCTGGTATATAAGAACGCTTGTGTCCTGTACATTTTAGTTCGTTTTCACATCTCAACTATCTAATACAAGCAAAATTTGACACTTTTTTTTAAATTCACGATTACACTGACAGTGTCAAAGTAGAAAATGAATTAGAACTAGGGGTGCACTAATTGACCAGGCAGGGATTGGAATTGACTGGTCATCCTCACACATGTCCAGTTGCGAGCTGGTCTGTTTCATGCATGTGGAACAAATGCACAACAGTGTAGATAGGCAAATAGTCATGTGCACAGTCACACACAACATGATAGAATTAAAGTAAACTGCAGGGGAAACACCATGAAAGCAATTGTGACAACAAATCACATCAGACTCTTAATTCACCTTCACCCAGCTGAACATGGACATTTAAGGAGGCTAACAAATTCTTAACATGCCTGTAATATAATTCTAAGTACCTGACATTTGTTTTGTTAAATATGTTGTATGAGCTTCTGTTTGGTAAAGAAAAAGATCTCTTTGAATTTGGGGGTTCAGCAACTCATTTTCAGTTAATTATTTACACCTGCTTCCAGAGTAAAGCACTATATTTTTAGCTGTCTATAGAAGATCCTGTAACTCACTGCAGCTTGGGGGGATTATAAAGAAATTGTGAAGTTTAATAATGTCTTTCATAATGAAAATTCAATTTTGCATTGAAGAAAGTTGACTTTTACTTGCACATGCTGTCATTTTTAGAGAGGAAGTCAGAATCTAAAAAAAATGGTATCTGTGGGTCACACTTGGAGAAAATCCAAAAATGGGATAGCCCAAAAAGTTGAAGTTGATCCTTCTCTAATCAAAACAGGACAAAAACACAAAGTCTGTGCAGTTAAGTGATTAAATTATTTCTTCAGTGTAATAAAACATCGATTCCAGATGTTACACGGTTACTCTTCAGAAAGACTGAGTTTCACTGGTTCTTTTTTCCTTTAGGCACTTTAGGACTTTCTTGTAGTGGCTCCACAGTGCAGTAGTTTACACCTTTGCAGATCCTTGGTTTGATCCTGGGAGAAGACAAATCCCTTGAGGAATGTGTAAGAAAGTGCATCCTGCCAAATCAAATATGCGGAACTCCTTCCTATGTTGATCCCTTGTAAATAAGGGGAGCAGCTTTTCTTTTATAACTTTCTTGTACATGTCAGGGTAATATTTTTTATGGTTGAAAATCCCAGAAGAAGAGTCTCTCGGTGGAGACAAGTGGAGATTATTTTGGCTACTACAGTTTCCAGGATCAAGAATGAAATATTAAGCTTGAAATGCTTTGGTGGTTTCAGTCTCCCTTTGAATTTCCTGATTGCTCCGTGTGTCTCTGTTATTGTTTTGGACCGTAACCACTGCTACCCTGTGGATGGGGCTATTAAACCAAATAAATCTAACAGTATGTCTTAGACTGTTATATTTTATGGAAGGGGCTGTTGGTGTGTAAACAAGTGTGTGTCTACAACCTCTGCTGCTCTCAGCACCTTAAGCTGGAAGTTGACAGAAGTTAATTCAGGTAGAGAATAACTCTTAGTTATTTACTACCTACCTGTACTTGCACTGATTTATGCAATGAACAGATGGAATTGAATTCCCTCTCCTCTCATCACTCTTTCCCTCCATTACTCCTCCTCCTGACAAATGAATCTGCAGTAATCCCAGCTGTGCCCCCATTCAGTTTAGAGTCAGTCAGCCTTTCTGCAAACAAATCAGGGCCAAGATCCATCCAATGGAAACTGTGCCAGACATCGACCCGAGCCTGGTAATTATCCAAAGGTTGAGAGTGGATTGTTTTGACTGTTTCTCACTCTTACTTTGTTATCTTTGCCACAGCGTTTTGCTGTCAGTCGGCCTTCCATGCCAGCAGGAACTTTTGTTGTTGTTGACTGTGATGGCTGTGGTGCAGTCTGAGCTCTGATTCTGGACAAAGTGCAAATACAAAGTGCTGTAAATAGAAAAAATGAATAACACTTTTGGAATACTGAGTTTTTTTCTAAGTTGGGTTTACTTTACACAAGTCTAAATTACATTCTTGTTTATTGCATGGCTTAAAAAAGCAGCAGTTCACAGATTTCTGTTAAACTCTACCTTAACTCTTTGAACTTGTCACAGTTCATTTTTGGATTCAGTCCTCTTTGGTCCCTGACCATCTCCACTATGCTTAGGGATGTAGAAGCTCCATTCATATTGTTGCTATGATAGTTGTTTAGGGCTCTGATAGTATGTTTGGGCTAGTTGTCATGCTACAGAGGGAATTTCAAACACCTCCCTGATGGTAGTGCATGATAGATATGAGTCAAAAATGAGTAAAACTGCTTCACATTGCTGCATATTTGAGACATACATTAGTTTTG